TTGTTGTTGTTGTTAATCACATGAATATCCTCCAATTTCTTCAGACCATTGGGGGTATGTGAGTTTCCACACAAAACGAAATTGTTCATATGGGCAATAGTCCAAGTGACCCAATAATGTTTTGTAGCGGAGCTGGTGTTTGTAGCCAGGACTCCCCATTCTAAGAATGGTTTTAACAAGGCTGTTTGGTTCATCTCATCACCCTGCCTTGTTCACGGAGTTTTTTCCCCAGGGTTTCAGACATTGCTGTCCTCCATTTTAAAGCTCCCATTGTTTTCCAGTGCACTTCCATCTTTTCTCTTAGCACAGAAAAATCACTAAGGACAAAAAGATGAAATGGTGGCATAGTGCCTTCTAAGTGATGGCATGAGGAGCCTTACATCTCAAAAAGCTCTAAGTCCAAAACCTAGTGCACTGCATCACAGTGTAAGCAAAGCCATATTAGTGGTTTCTTAAGATAGTTATTTTTAAAAAATGGGTTGAGTTGTACTAGAATATAAATTTGGTACAGTATAAAAGTAGAATAATCATGAAGAACTATGAACAATTATTTACAAAAAAATGTGGCCTGTATTCTCATGGCCGTCATGAACGTGGTGGTAGGGATGGTTTGTAATGGGAAAACCTTTTTTAAAATTCTGTTTTTACTTTTTCTTGCTCCAATATGTAGGCCTCCTCAGGAAGACAGGTAATGGACACTTCCTGAATATATATGTGTATGTGCAATACTGATAGTTTATTAATGTGCTACATTATAAGCAGGTGTCTAGTTCCAGTGAAAGATTCAGAAAGAAAACTGCAGCATGAAAGGTGATAGAATAAATCCACTCCAAAGTTCTGTACTTCTGCCAAATGCTACTCATAGTCTTTGGAAAACAGATCCTGATGTTTCAGCAATGCCCCAAAGTACCAGCTGTGCAATGAAATGATTTCAAGACATTATTCAACATAAGAGCAGGCAGTGAAATATGACATGGGCTGTGACATCAGGGCAGTGGACAAATGCTTGACATTCCAACAGCTGGCTCATTAAGAAAAAAGAATGAACACTCACTACAGCACTAGACAACACTAGTTGTGAACTGAAATATCTAATTGGTGCCCATCAAAACTTTTTTCCTAAGGCTAATTGCCTTAAATTATTTTCATCAGGATCACAATAGGAGGGAGCTGATAGATATCCCCTCCTCACTTTACAATTGATCTGGAAATCATTTCGTTTCTAGTATGAAATGAATTTAAAAATTCCTTACCCAATAAGAATAATGTCTAATTTGATCGTTAGACTTGGAATGTTTATTTCCTAGAATTAGCCATTGTAAAAAATGTAGAAACAAGGATCACAAATAAATAAATTGTGCAACTTGTAAAAATGAGTGCAAACAAGATGTTTGAGAAAGTAACAGTTGTACTGTACTGATATCTATCTGATAGCTCTTTCTTTAATGTTTTAGTGGTGTGGAGGTTCTATACACTGTGATTTTTGATGGGGAAGCTATCAGCAATGCTACTTGGGACTTGATTAACCTTCAGTCCAACAAAGTGGAAGACAACTCCTTTCTAGAGATTGAAGATAACCCAACTGTTGTTTACACAATCAGTGACTTCAGACATTTTATTGCCGAAATTCTTCATAAGAACTCGTTACTTGAGAATGCCTCATTAAACTTGAATCCTGAGTCTCTTCAGCTTATTAATGGTGTGTATTGAGTAAGAAACCTTGCAATTCAATTGACTAGAATTCACTCCAAAATATGTTGTGATATAACTACCTGCCATTAGGAATTCAGTTTGCTTGTTTGTTTGCATTTTTATCCTGCCCAACTAGCAACAAAACTACTGCTCTGGGCGGCAAACACAACCAAACATAACAATAATAGAAAGCAATAAAAATTGGTAGGAAAAGGGTGAAATCCCAGGACAATGATAGGTGAAAAGCAATGAGTGCAATAGTGATATGGCCCAGATTTATTCTTGAAGCCCTAGTTCAGGAGCCCTCTTTTGTCTTTCTCTAGTAAGACCTCTAAAACCCTTATTTATTTGAATTAATAATCAAATGGTCTTTACTTGTACTCTCATTATGTGTAGTCCATGGATTATGAAGTACTGGCAAAGTGGCCTCCAAATGTCCAGTAAAAAGTGACTAAGGGACATGGAAGGAAGCTATAATCAGCGGTTCCTCTCAAACACCTCAATCATAGTCAAGCCTGAGAAACATATACCTATATTAATCAGTCCTCCCAGTTGATATATTTGCATTTGTAAGATTCCTGCATGCTAAATGCAACAAAACCTTTAAGATCACACTTATTTTGGCCTAAAGCATCTCATGTTCACATAGGCAGCAAATAAGCCAACAGCGTCCTTTGAAACATCATATGAGATCCTGGGAAATAAACCAGTATCCATACTGCAAATGCTTTCCTCAGTCTCTCAACATAGGCAGATGCACATATTTATTCTGTTTGTTCTTAGCCACAACAACATGGCAGAGTTTCCTGTCTCTTTGGGACTGGAGACATATGTGTGTATGTGTATGTAATTAAGAGAGTTATAATTTCATGAGTTCTGTGGGGAAGGTACTAGGCATGTTAGTCCTAGGAAATATGTAGAACCTTTCTTCTGATAAGAGCCTAACTCTGTGCCTACAGAACCTAGAATTCACTTTGATATGAATACAGGGAATACAAAATGATCCTTTGGGATGGGTAAGGGGTTGAATTATGCTGTAGGTTTTCTCTCCAAATTCTTGTTAGGAATATCGCATTTAAAAATACATGTTTTTCTTTAATGAGTTAGAATATGAAATATGTGCACTTGTAATCAAGCCATTTAAAGCATTAAAGAATTTTCATAATTGCTTCCCTCACAGTAAAAGAAGTGGTCACGTCTATAACAGAAGACCCAACCCAGATTACTACTCAGCCTATTGATTATGTAAGTTCATTGTCCTTGATTATCACCTCTGTGTAGTCTCCTTTTGCCTTTCAACCACTTACCAAGTCATCTAACTGGTTCAAGAACAGCACCTGAAACATGGTCTTCCAAATGCTCTGTAAAGCCTCAAATGTTCTTAAATCCTTCATTTAACAACACATGCTTAATGAGATTTAAGTGATTTGTGGAATCTTTTCTATTGAATTGTTTGTATACCTTTGTGAATAAGCTTCAATATATATTGAGTATTTTGCTAGTGGAAAAATGCTGAAAATACTGTAGCTTGTTTTTGCAGAGTGGTCTTTCTATCCTATTAAGTCTTATTCTCTCTCTCTGAATGGTATGTGCAATAACTCAGAATCTGCCAAAACTATATTACGTCTCTTAATGTAATGTACCATTTTGAGAGTATAAGATGTCAGAGGAACAGATCTCTCCATTTAAACAGATGATGAGGTGCAATTCCTGGCAACCATACACAAATGCTCCAAACATTTCTATTGCAAAGCAATCGCTCCCAGTCTTTCTGGTTATTTGATTACTTAATGCAGTACCTTTCTCTGTAGCTTGCATAGTATTTTGCTTTCACAGTTTTGTTCACATTTTTGAGATTCCTGTAAATGCTCATTACTGGTGTGACAGTCAATGAAGATGGGGAAAGAGTGAAAGGGAAGCATGAAAACAGATTCAGAACTGGAACTCCAGTGTCCCACCTTGTTTGTCAGGGAATCTAGCTCTTTCCAGAATCACTCCCTTAGCCTTGTTGTGACATTTATTTGAGGGCTTGCAAGGAGGTAAATGAATCCAGAATAGACATGGTATATTCATATTTATATCCCAGGAGATACGAATATGAACTATGGCACTACAGGTGCCATGGAGGCCCATTCCCTCCCCCCAGAACTGGCTGGTCCATTCATCAGTCACTGTGTGGCACTCGAGTCCTTCACTGTCATTGTTGCACCAATCCCGGAAGGAGCCTGGCCAGTGTTTCCCTGCACAGCTGACCACTCATCAGCTGAGCAGGGAGACTCCCCATCCCACCTCTTCACCAGAGTGGTTGGCTGTGCAGAGAGGTCGAGAAGCGTCAGCCAGGCTCCTTCCCGGATTGTCACAACAATGACAACAAAGAAAGTGAGCTCCACACAGTGACTGGTGAGTGGACTGGCCAGTTCTGAGGGAAGGGAAGGGGTCTCTGTGGCACCTCTGGTGCCACAATCTGCATTTGTATTCCTGGGTATACGAATACAAATATTCCATGTCTAATCCAGAATGCTTTAAAACCACACATTGTAAGGACAAAATCTTAATAGAATTAAAATGAAAATGGTATAGAGAAACTGGGGATAAACAGACTAGCTCTACTGAAGAAATTATTTACTTTTGCTGATCTGCTGCGCAGCAAGAAAACATAAAGTAAAAGAAACCTGTAAGGTTAGAGTTCAACAAGCTTGTTCTTAGTCTTTTGACATGCCAAACACTCTGCTGTAAGAAGATTAATAGATTAATTCCGTCAGAATGTGCCCTTGTACCCTCTAGGGAGCATGGCAAGCAGTTTTGTCAGGTATTGAGTACTCTTACAAACCAAGTTGAAGCAAATGAGCATTTCAGTTTTTTTTTTAAAAAAAACATGCAATTTTTTGTGAGAAAAGGGGAAGGGATGTGATGGTTATAGTGTATGGCCTTCCAAGTCCAGGTATGGGCACATGTGGCCTCTGGAGCTGTGGAGATTATCCATTTTTGTGCACAGACGCCTTAAGGGGGATGAAAAATGCAAATCATCTGTCGCAGTGCAAACCTCTAACATAAAAAATTATCACAGGAGGCTGAATCCAGTATTTTCTTGTGTGACTCTCCTCCTGAAGTAGTCGTGGATACAAAAGGAATTGATTGCCATGACCTGAATGGTCATGCAGTGAGAAAAGACAAGTGTATCATCACAATTGCTCATTCAGTCAAAGTTTTTTCAAAATTATGTTGAAAAAGTGTAATAGCAAATAGTCAAAAATTATTGGTTAAAATCTTTTTGTGAAGCTATGCAAATAGCATAACTTTTAGAAGTTAATTACTATAGGTTAAGAGATCTTCTTATATATTATCTGTTGTAAACTGAATTGTGTGACTTAGTGTGCAACAAGTAAGGTCTATGGAGACTTCTTAACTTGTGTCAAATTTGCCAGCCATAGTTATCCTATTTGCATAATTGTGCCACAGAATTTCAGCCATTAACTCTTAATGGAACAATGGTTTCCAGCCTTAGAACTTCTTAAATTCCCAGAGTACAACTCCCAGAAGCTATGTTTTTACTATGCTAATTTAGATTCCATATAGTATAATCCAAATATATTTATAGAGCCAAGATTGACTACTATAAGCCTAGTCTTCAAAGGGGCATATAGGTGCCTTTCCCTTTAGGATGGGGGAGTGTGCGCAGACCTTTATCCCATACAGAAAACATGTGTAACTTTATAGCCCCCCCCCCAAGTCTAAGTCTGTGCTAAGAACAGTACAAAGAGGAAATGGCAATGAGGAGTTGAGGAAGAGAGCCTGAGACAGTGAAAAAGAAGCAGAGACACAAAGCAAGCGAACCCTTCTTTTCTCATCCATTGACCAGCTATCCTGGGGGAACGGATCATCATTATCTGGACACTGTCAGGCAGGTCTCCAGCTTTACTCAAGGTCTGTAGCAACAATTTTGAGACTGGAGCCAAAATAGCATGTCAGTGATGACAGAAGTAATTCTTCTCCCCAGATGCACCTTTGGATATTTAAGGGTTTAGATACAGAACCAGAGCTAAACGGTTTGAAGCCATTTTACCACTATAGGCTGTTACAACCATAGCTGGCCTTTGGAACACTTCAGAGGCCAGTTCACACATGACCTTGATATGTAGGTTGCATAAGTAATGATATGTATGGGAGTAAACAGTGTGCCTTCTATTGCACAGTTCATGAAGTAGCATCAGGCAGTGTCATCACTGTGATTTATAACCTATATGCACCTATATTTTAGGATCATGCCGTGGTGTCCGAATGGCCATCTGCAGATGAATCAACTGTAAGCAACATCTTGCCACTTGATTTCACAAGGCCAGGTTTTATCTTTGATACTGATCAATATAATGGGAATGAAATCTGGTTAAGACCTGATTCAGATTTCTTGAACCCTGAAAGCAATTTCAGTTCAACACCCAAAGCGACTTCCCATTCAAAACCTGGCATCACCATTCCATCAGATGATCTGCTTTTTGTGGATGGAAAACAGCTGCATTCTGTCACACCATCAGCATTAGACACTGATGACTCTGTGGACCTGGAAAACATTTCTGATTTCTCTTTGCTGGAAGATGGTAAGTTATTTTGCTGCTTCTTTGTCTTGCAAAGTTACATATCTCAGCTATGTTTGCAGAAACACAAATACTTTTTCACTAGTGATCCCAGTAATGAGAACTCTCCTACTGAGTGGGAGTTAGATGTACCCCAGGTAACAGAAATTTTGGAAATACTGCACTCAAATTCTATTTTAAGAAGTTTGTTTCATGTTTCCTGGCAGGCTTCATGATTACAGTACTGCAGGTATTGACCCTATAAATATATTGTAATGGAAGCATTATTCTCTTCTATTTCCTTGGGGGAAGTAACTGCTTTGGTTGTGTTAAGGGATAACTTCCACTGAAAGATAGGTAGAAGTGTGACTTTTTGGTTTTCATGGGTTTCATACAGTATTTGATACTGCTGTATTCTTAGATGTTGCCCCATTGCCTCAAAGGATTAGGGCATTGTACTGGGTTGGTTCCATTTGCTTCTGGGAGGTAGAACACAGAAGGTGGAGAAGTGGACTCTTCCTATTCCTAAGGCAGTGGATAGATCCTTGTTGTCTCTGCACACCTGCTGTTCCTCCCATTCTTGCTTGGAAGATCTGTCTTCTCCCCTTCTTGTGTGGTCAGGGATAGAACACTACTGTTCCTCCTGGGCACCTCTTCCTTATGTCTTTTCCCTTTTTGCCGACATTCTGCCCCTCCAATGGGAAGTGGGGGGCTGCTACTACATCTGTAGTCCAACAGGGAGGATACAAATGCCTCTGTATGCAGCACAGCAGGGAGATAACGATGGAGGTAAGCAGGAAGGAATGCTTTTCATTCCAATACATGCAAAGAGTGTTGCTTTTAGCCTGACGTAGCAGGACAACATGGGCCACCTCTGGATTTCTTACTTCAAATTCCTCAATGCTATCCAGCACAATGAGCAGTGCCTCTGGCTGTGTGGAATGTCTTTTCAAGAGTGATGCATCATACCATGAAAACGATATTGTTTTAGGAAGTAGACTGCTTAAGACTTTTGATTAGATGTTCTCTTGGTTTATGTTCATGTTCTTTCCAGTACTGCTGTTTTTAAGATTTTTCTTCTTTGCTTCTCTCAGCCTGTTACATTAATACTTTTCTACTGTTGATTATTTGATTTTTAATGTATTAAAATGCATTAAATTCCCTTTTAAAAATGGTGGAATATGAGCTTTTAGAATAATTAAAGGGGGCTGCTACTCTCTTGGATTTGAGCCAGTAAAATCCCAGAAATTGCACTTTAAATAACCTTTTCCTTCCTTCCTTCCTTCCTTCCTTCCTTCCTTCCTTCCTTCCTTCCTTCCTTCCTTTTAGCACTTGAAGATGCTAAGGAGTCAGAAGGTTTGCTTTTGCCTTCAGGTCCTACCCATCACACTGTGCCAAAAGAAATTTCACCCACAACTGATTCTGTGATTCCTCTCACTCCTGTACCACCCATGGCCTCTGTATCAACCATACAGCCTAGCACTGAGGAACTATTGTCTACAAGTTTTGTAGAAGAGGAAACCCGGCAACCTTATATCTATATAGAAGATGACAATATTGATTACTTTGGTTCTGGTTCAGGGCATGAGCCACAAACAAACACATGGCCTTGGTATACATCTACATTGGAAATGGAAGGATCGGGTATGTATGATTATAAGGAAACAAATTTTATATTGGAATCCTCGAAAGATTATGAATCTAAAGACCTATTAGATGAAGTCATATCCCAGCCATCTTTGGAAACAGAAGACACTTCGATAGAAAATATTCTTGCTACATCTACTGAAATGTATGACACGATACAATTCCAAGATTCCAGGGAGGATCTGCAAATCATTTCTGAAGTAACTGAAAGCCAAGACCAATTAAAAACAGAGCAGTCAGCAACTGATTCTCTACAAATAGCTATTACAATAAGACAGACAGATAGTAGCTCTCAAGGAGCTGGATTGGAGAAACCAGAAATAACTTTAACAACAGATCCTTCTGTACAAAGTCCAGTGACTGATAGTTTTACAGTGGTACAGCTAATTCCTGATTCAACAACACATGAGGCCACTGGCTCAATTGTTCTAAAACCTGTTGTTACTCCTCCTGTGGAAAGTGCCACTCTTCAACCTGTACATGAAGTCATGACTTCAGTAGCATCACCTAGTTTTGAAATTTCAAGTGTGGTTCCTTTCTTCATCAAAGTGATAACTCGTTCTAGTGACTTCACCAAGGAGGTCACTGCAACACATGCCACTAATACTCCAAGCAGCTTTGACAGTGAACTCAGCTCTTCAGCAACTGCGGCCATAACAGAGTATTCTCTCCATGCTCTCTCTCACATGCCTACCACAGAGCCAACTGCGTTTCAGCCTACAGTTATCTCAACTGATTTGGAGAAAAACCTGATCACAAAAGAACTGGAAGTTACAGAACAGGACCACACTGGCACAGCATATTACCCTTCTGAAATGACCCAGGAAGGAAGCATGACAGATAGTCGTATGGAGTTGTCTACAAGTGCCCATTCTACAGAGATGGCCAGCGTAGCTGGGGCTACTCATGAAAATCTCAGCAATGTTACTGTTCCTGCACGTGCTTTAGTGGTATTTTTTAGTCTTCGCGTTACCAACATGATGTTTTCTGAGGACTTGTTTAATAAAAATTCCCCTGAATACAAAGCTCTGGAACAGAGATTCTTAGAACTGGTAAGACTTTTTTATAATCTTTTTCTCCAGCTGGTATTATGAGTTCAAATGCTTTTAGTTATGAGAAAGCAACACAGAGGGTACATTTCTGTTTCTTTAGGACAGAAATACTCACATCTGCAGTTTGCATGCTGCAATGACCAACTTGTGCCTGGGCCAGCTATGAATGCTCACATACAAATATTTAGGCTCAGTGGTTCAAATTTGTCAGGAATAGGAAAAATGCTTCAAGCAATGGATTCATACCTCCTTCTGTCCAGATTAATTACAATGGCTAGGAGCCTACTGGGCACCAAAGGGGCATAATGCTCTGATGGTGCAAGTGTTGCCCTTGCACAGCTGGAAATCCCCCTTAGGAGTACCTAACTTTGCTTGCACAAAGTGGCTCTAGATATCTCCTTGTGCATACCCCATAAAAATAAAACCATGGATGCTGTGGTTGTTGCCCAGGCAGTTGCACCGAAGAGGATCCTGGCCTATGTGTTTTGCACTGTACCTGTGCAACAAAGGAAGTATGAAATGAACTGTTGGCCCCTGCACACCTAGCCTTTAGAAAGTCAGTCAAAACCCGTATCTTCAGAGAAGCTTTTCTGTAGACTCTCCCTGCATGATTGGCTATTATGGTGTTTGTTTTTATTTTTTTAAAAAAATTCCTGTCATTGCAGGTGAGTTATTTATTTTCTATTGTATTTGTCTGGTTGGAGTTTGGGTTTTTATAAAAGTTTTTTTTCCCTGTGTAAGTCACCTAGAGTGGTGGCATGCCACTAGATGGGTGGGGTTAACATTTAATTAGTGTTAATCATTCAAATAAGTAAGTGAGTGAGTGAGTGAGTGAGTGAGTCACCCAATGGGCACTCAGCATGCCTTACCAGTCAAGCTGAACTAGTCTTAATTCATTTTTCAGAATTAAAGGAGCAAAGTCAAGGTGTAGTACAACTCTGTGCTTGTTTGCTCAGATGTAAGTCCAAATATATGAAATAGTGCTTATTGCAGGTCTGTGTACAGTGGTGCCTTGCTTGACGACATTAATTCGTTCCAGCGAAATCGCTGTAGAGCGAAAACGTCAAACGAAACAAAAAACCCATTGAAACGCTTTGAAAACCCCTCACCATCCAGCGAAGATCCTCTATAGGGGCGGCTATTTTTGGGTTCCTGTAAAGCGAAAAATGGCTCCTAAAAACAGCGGGGAGCCATTTTGAGCAGTCAGCAGCCATTTTGAAAACCCGACGATCAGCTGTATTGATCGTTGTAAAGTGAAAAATCGGTTCCTGAAGCAGGGAACTGATCATTGCTAAGCGAAAAAAGCCCATTAAAACATCATTTTGCAATCGCAAAAACATCGTCGTGAAGCAGATTCATCATTATATGAGGTAATCGTTAAGCAGTGCACGACTGTACATTTGCATGTGTATGACTCCCAATCTCTCTCAATGTCTCTCTCTCTCTCTCTCATACATACATACATACATACATACGTACATACATTGCATGACTGTACATTTGCATATGTATGACTCCCAATCTCTCTCAATGTCTCTCTCTCTCTTTCTCATACATGCATACATACATACATACAGACAGACAGACATACATACATACAGACAGACAGACAGACAGACACAGAGAGAAAGGCACAATCCCTGCATTAATATTTTGCTTTTTCTTTGTTGTAGTTGGTTCCTTATCTACAGTCAAATCTAACAGGCTTCCAAAATCTAGAAATTCTGAATTTCCGAAATGGTAGTATTGTGGTGAACAGCCGAATGAAATTTGCAAAACCTGTGCCTCGTAATGTCACTAATGCCGTATACTTGATCCTGGAAGACTTTTGCAACACTGCTTACCAGACTATGAACCTAGCTATTGACAAGTACTCGCTTGATGTAGAATCAGGTATTGTAAAGGGAGAATACTGTTGTGTGGTTAATCGATGGAGAGATTAAGGAACCGTTCCCTAGGCTGGGCCATTACAGATGCCAAATGAGGTGTCAGATAACTGAATGCTCTTCCAAAACCCTGCATTAATGTTTTGCTTTTTCTTTGTTGTAGTTGGTTCCTTATCTACAGTCAAATCTAACAGGCTTCCAAAATCTAGAAATTCTGAATTTCCGAAATGGTAGTATTGTGGTGAACAGCCGAATGAAATTTGCAAAACCTGTGCCTCGTAATGTCACTAATGCCGTATACTTGATCCTGGAAGACTTTTGCAACACTGCTTACCAGACTATGAACCTAGCTATTGACAAGTACTCGCTTGATGTAGAATCAGGTATTGTAAAGGGAGAATACTGTTGTGTGGTTAATCGATGGAGAGATTAAGGAACCGTTCCCTAGGCTGGGCCATTACAGATGCCAAATGAGGTGTCAGATAACTGAATGCTCTTCCAAAAAAATCCCCCATTAAGGAAAGATGGATGTTATGGTTTCTCACTTTACTAGCTCAATGTAAACAAAATCCAGGTAGTGTCTATGTCTGACAGTAATGATGATATCATTATTTGTATAGATGTATTTTGTATGTTTCATCTCAGTATTCCTTACAAAAACACTTCAGTGCTTTGTAGATGAGATTTGGCTCAGAGGGCTTCCTGATTCACCATTTACCATGTACTCACATACACCAGTTGTCAATCTCTTGTTTTCCTGTTTGTAGATAACAGAACTGCGTTAGTGGGTGTTTTCTAAATTGTAATTTGTTCTCCTTAACAGATATAAGTGAAGTACCCAATATGCAAGTTCAGTACAGCAGAGATTCTGAGTTAAATATTTATCTGAGTTGCTCTGAGTAGCACCTGACATGAACCTTGCTAGTCACCAATTACCATTGCAAACAAACATTATCATTTCTCACAATCTAATTATTCAACACTCGCTTTTAATCGTATATTTATTCTTAAAAATGCTTTGTAAGTGAAAAATTTCTCAAAGTGTCTACTGTGGAATACTGGCTTTTCCAAATAAAACAAAATTTCCTGCACTTTATCTTCTTGGTCACAAAGGAGCGCAGGCTTTGCCGGCCTTCATGTCCAAACTTCCCTTTAAAAAAGGCACTTCTCTGAAAATCAAGTTTCTTTACAAAGTTCTTTTAAAACTTTTTAAATAGTTTAAAAATCTCTACCTGCTGCAGCTTTGCTTATGCAGTAGAGGTTTTTATTATTTATTTAAAATATTTTACCCCACCTTTCTCCATAGGAACAATGGAGCTTACATCGTTAAAAGATAGCGTGTAAAGCTAAAAACAGGAAGTATATAAGGGTCAAATAAGTTTCATACTAAAAATAGTAAACAAAAGCAACACCAAAACACATTCAAAGCAGTGAAGTACAGCAATATATCTATAAAATCCCACTCAGGCAGCCATTCACTCAGGGAAAGCTTGCCTGAAGAGAAAGGTCTTTGTTTGCTTGCAGAAGGACAGCAAAGGTAGTGCCAACCTGGCCTCTTTTTAAATGGACTTTTATTCTTGATTACTTCTAACTGAAAGCTCTCTATTGAGAGTCTCTGATTGCAGGCATGAACTTCCTTTTGGGAAATATCAAAGTATTAAAGTCCATCTCCAAAGTAAACTGAAAGTGAGTAGAAACTTCAAGGGGACAGAAATACATGGAAAGTCACTCTAAAAATGCATTGAACCAAGCAAGACAAGTGTTCTGTCACGTGGATGACAGGAAAAGCACCAGTAATCGTAGTAAAGGACCCAGTGCTTTTGCTAGAACAAACATTCTAACAGTATAAGCCTTAAGATGTAGCAGGTGTTATCCAGTATGCATTTTATTTTTCTTAACTTTTCTAGGAGAACAAGCAGATCCTTGCAAGTTTCAAGCATGTAACGAGTTCTCTGAATGTCTGGTGAATCAGTGGAGTGGAGAGGCTGAGTGTGTCTGTTATCCTGGGTATCTGAGCATCGATGGATTGCCTTGTAATAGCATTTGTGATCTGCAACCTGACTTTTGTCAAAATGATGGTAAATGTGACATAATTCCAGGACAAGGGGCAATATGTAGGTAAGTGAATGTTTCTCTTTCTGGCAGGAAAATCAGAGTTTATGTATTTTATATACTAATTTTACTGTTCATGCTGATTTAAAAAACAAAACAAAAATAAAAAATAATAACTACCTATTTATAGGAAATACTGCAAACTATGCAGATTTTTTCTTACATCTATTCTATTTTGCTTTATTTTAGTTAATCCATTACTTTTGAGACAATAGTTTTTCCAAAGCATCTTACATCATAAAAATAATGAAAACATTATTAAACTCTTAAATAGGCAGTTTGAAATAATGCCAGTTACAAAATAGTGCCCATTAGCAGTAAATATATGTAATTAAATCTAATTGTTAATCCCAACTAGATTGAATCGATGGCTAGAGTAACTTGCTACTAGAGCAGGTCCATTGAATCACTGGGGGATTTAGTGAGGCAACTCTTCTGTAAGATTCCATTGATTCAATATGCCTACTTTAGTTACTTCTGGATTTCAGTTACTAGTTACTTCTGGATTTCAGCTGTTACGTAGCTGCTGATTTACCATAGCCCTATTGATTCAGTGAATCTATTCTAATTTGGACCAACTATAAGGTTTAGGCTACTCAGCCTTACATCTGTTTGCTAATTCATATAATTTCACTTCTCAAAAACACTGATTTACAACAAGTTTGCAAATTATGTACCTTTGTCCTCATTTTTTATCATGTGTTAGAGAGCATTAAGATTTAATGTACCTTTCCTTCATTTCAAGTGAACAATAGGAGCACTCTTCTTTATTTTCATTTGCTTTCTGTGTGCTTGACAGATGTCGTGTGGGTGAAAACTGGTGGTACAGAGGAGAACACTGTGAAGAGTATGTCTCTGAGCCTCTTGTTGTGGGTATCGCAATTGCTTCAGTAGCAGGTTTCCTTCTTGTAGCATCCGCTGTCATTTTCTTCCTGGCCAGAACCCTTCGAGAGCAGTACTCAAAGAGTGAAATTGAGGACTCTCTAGGGTAGGTATCAGTTAAGAGTTCCTTTCACCCAATGTGTTTGATAATGAAAGACAGGAGCAGTACACAAGGCTATGCAGCTGCCAGGATGTGGAATGTAACTATATTTTCATAAGCCTAATAAGTAAGAAGGGCTTTATAAAACTGGTCCTCAGTTAACTTTTAGATGAGATCAAACAACAAAAAGATCATGAAACCAATCTCTCTGTTAAGTGCAAACAGGGAAGTAGAAGTGGCTGGTATCAACTCTGCTGAGGAGAAGAATAGTAACCAGTGGGAGAATGGGCACATGCATTCTGTGCCTGTTGATACAGGCACAGATTTGAAGCTAACCCAATTTCTCAAAAATAGGGGAAACTGTATATTTTGGGCAACCTGACAGAGATCTTTAGTAGGAAATAATCCCTACTTCTATTGTCAATACCTCTGTAGGCTCTCACTCAATTAATGCAGGTCATAGCCACCAGCTTGTTAATGATGTTGCTTCATCTTGCAATACTCTCTGTGGTCTGTCCTACATATCTACATTTTAGAAGTTGTATAATGGATACAAAACCCTAAATCGAGACCTTGGCAATGTGGACATTGGTTGCCTCCCAGCTCTTAGCTTGCAGACAACATTGTCAGTTCTACTCTGACTAATATTTTGAAAAGACAATTCTATACAATTTGACATTTGCTCATTCTGCTTTCTTTGTAGGCAAGGAGATAGTCTTTCATCCATTGAAAATGCAGTGAAATACAACCCAATGTATGAGAGTGATGCTACTGGACAGAGCCACTATTATAGGAGATATCCTCAGCTCACTTCATATAGCTCAACAAGCAATGAGACATCCACTGAGTACAGCAGCGAAGAGATCAGGCACATTTATGAACATAGTGAGCTAACTAAGGAGGTAGGCAGATAACATCTAGTTTCAATTTTCACTCTATTCTATCTCAACAATTTGGTGATGATCCTTACATGTAAATGGTAAACGTAGGGGATAATTTTGTTTAAAAGCATATTTAAAACCACTGAGAAAATAAAAATACCTACAGATTGTGGAATTCTATATTGTAAGCAATAGAGCACATTTGGTTTGAACTGTTGTGTTTTATTAATGATTATTGTATAATGATTGTGTTTTGTAGGAGATTCAGGACAGAATACGGATTATAGAACTTTACACCAAAGACCGACAGTTTGCAGAGTTTGTACGACAGCATCAAATGTGAGTTAGATGTTTTCTGAAAAACTTATATAAATATTATTTATTTTAATCTATTCATTGTCCTACATGCAATATTCAAAATGTTGAATGGAAACATCTGGGGTTCACATTTGAATCCCATTCTATTAGAATTTTAAATAGATGCCACTATGGTCAGCTGCATTTTCATACTGTGGTGTGTAAGAAATAGCTTCCTTATTCTACAGCCATCTGAAAGCATAACAATATACATAATAGTTTGTCCTTCATTTTCAAAGAGGACCATCTTCATCAGATTCAACATGGTGGTGGGGCAGGGGGAGAAGCAGTGAGTGGTTGAGCTTAAGCAGTAGCACATTGATGGACATTCAAGTGACTAACTAGCCCAATACAATTCCAGAAGATATGGAAACAGTAGGGAAAGGCTAGCTGAATTTGAGCATATGTGCTAATTATTAGGATTGAGTTAGCATTTATCTCTCTAATTATTACAATGGAATTTGTTTACTACCTCCCATATCTCTATTGTGGTATCCTAACTGAGGAAAATCTCCTTCTGGAACCAACCCTGCAATTATTTCTATGCCAGTTCAAAGCTCTTTTTGTTTGCCAAGGGATTTTGGCAAAGTTAGGAAATGTTAATTTTTGGCAGCTTTTCTTTTGTTTTGAAGACATTCTCCGGAGTTTTCACTGATTAAAATTAAAGGGTAGTTCTGAAGTGTTTTAATAAGTAAATATAAAACCAATCTTCTGTTAATTTTAAAACACCAATTTTCTTTCATTCATATTTCTAATTAGGAAAAAAATATAAGTCAAGCATATTCATGTTTCAGCATAATTATTCACAAGCTTCATGTGGAATGTTGCTCTGGCTCACTAATTTTAAGGCCCAGACTTACACAGGATGAGAATAATTTATGTTAGATCCTGACTACAAAAAAATTCTGAATTTTTCTCCTGTTGATGACATGATACAATGGGAAATACAAGGAGTCTCACTGCCCTGATCCATCATTTTTCATGCCCATCAGATTCTCTTCTACTTTTTAAAAAGCCAGATCTTTCACTTTAGTTCAAAGCATATGATCACTTTGAACTGATACCGAAAGGAAAGATTTACTGGGCACATGCACACACAAAGCACCTTCCCTCTCAGTTCTTGCCTCTTGACACACATACAAGCAGAAGCAGCACTCACCTCTCTCTACAAAGCCCTTCTCCCAAGACACTTCTTCCCCTACTTTTTAAAAAGAGCTTCTTCTGCTAGGTAAAGCTTCTGTTTATTTATTTTTAACAGCTTAACAAGCTCTATGAGCTGGCAAGATAAGATGAGAAAATGAGTGAATGAGGAAGGAAAGCCTTCTTAAAACAGTTTCTTTGAACCATGCCACCTACAGGCACTTCATATGAACTGTGATAGAATTGCATTTAGAAGGCATTCTTCCTCCTCTGCCAATGTAGCCACTTATATTACTGAATGCCCTGGTGTGATTTCACAGTAAGAGAATGCAAGTTAATTCACACTTCCCGTTCTGTATAATTACACCCTTAATTTGTTTTGCAGTAAATCAACCACTCATATAGCATGTTAAGGAGTAACAAATGATAGTAATGTATGTATATAGGGATGATGACTCTAATCCAGGGATCTCCAAGCATGTATGCATGCATGCACGGGCTGAAGGGAACAGACCAGAGCCTGTGGAGCTGAGCCTGTGGCATTCGCCGGGCCAGATAAAAAGGCAAGGTGGGCCAGATGTGGCCTGCGGGCTGTCGTTTGGAGACCCCTGCTCTAATCCATGGAGATTATGGCAGTAATAAATCTGTTAGTCTTTAGGGTGTGAAAGGGTTACATATTGCTTTTGTAGCATTAGAAATAATGTTGCATTAGGAATAATACTAAAGAAGAGACTGCCACTGAGTAAATGTTAGTACGATAGTGACCATGCCCAGCACTTGCAAGGTTTAGGGAAAGAACTCCTGTGTGAGAATATGTCACTTCCAGGCAGGCTTAGGAATTAACCTTGTTAGAAATTTCACCACTTGCCTTGAAAAATACTGTGGGTAATAACAGAATTACTCCCTCCCAGTCTTTGTGTCAACCATTTGCCAGCTTTAATGATAGTTTAAATAATTGCTGTTGGCTCTTTTTCCCCCCAGGAAGTTACTTTAAAAACTTAACAGAGTACAAAGGCGATGAAGATGAATAGTGGTGCTACAAGGATTCTGCACTGATCTCTGATATTACTTTTTCATTGATGCATCTTAACTGCTCTTGAATGGATCCTCTTGTCTATGGAATGGATAAATCTATGGCTGGTTAGTTATCATTGGGTATTCCGAATGCAATCAGACAGCATGGGAAATGACCAGGAGCTGCAAAGATGATGAAAATCAGTATCACTTATCTGTAACAAACATTGTTCTGCAATTAACTTTTTTCTTGTCTCTTGAATGGGTTTTTGCCCCCTTCTCTTTTGGACATATAAATAAAAATAAATGAGAATCACTATCTGGTGCTCTTTGCTTTGAAAGGCTTGTTTTGCTTTTGTTCTTGTTTAAAGACGTGTTCGTAGGGAAATATTTACATGTTGCATGTAATATGTTTGTAGATTTTATACTGGTTTTGTGCAATTTTTTTCCAAAAAAAGGAAATAAAAAACATTAAAATAGTAGTTAGTGATCTAGATATTTTGTGTACACAACAGAGTTAGTTTTTCTAGCCCAAAATAAAATTAGAGAAAATCCCCATTACTAAGAATAAACTGAGTTTGCAACCTATACTTTTTTTGCCTTGGAGCAAGTCCCATTGAATCAATGGGAATTACTTCTCAGTACATACAGTATGCATAGGACTGCATTGTAAATGAAGGATTTTATATTGCCCTTTTCCTCATCTTTTAGTAGTTGCTCTTCTTGTTGCCTTTGCTATACATAACCTTGAGAAGTTGAATACAGTAAAACTATCTAGGAAGTTATATTTCCTACAAATGAAATAAGAGAGTTACTGTGTACTGGTTTTGTGTATTTATGAGAGACAGATGGCAAGAAGGCAAGAATGGTTAAATATCTTAGAACTACTGTAGTTTTAAACTTTTTTTAAAAAAAAGCTAACAAATGTATGACTTATCAGAAGGTTATTTAAACACATGGGGATTTAAAAGAAGTTGGGCATTAGTGTATTTATTGTGTATTTTGTTTTTTTCCTCATTAACAGACTGTTTTTGTAATGGTTTTGTACATGTGTGTGTCCCCAATTCTGGGTTGTACCTCTGTTCCTCCTTGTCTTGAAGGAAATTATTATGCACTAATCAGAAAAAAATATTTAACTGATCCAAGGAAAACAAGTATGAATTTACCCAGAAAGCAATTTCTGCAAATTTATTTATTATACATCTCCAACAGAGAACAGCAAAACATTGTTGCACTCTTTTTATAGATACGCAGTAGATACATTGCATGTGAGTTCACGTACACAGTTCACTTAGCTTTTAGTTTTGTTAATCACTGACATAAGCTAGCAGGTAACCCAATATGATCTTGTCTGGTGTGGAAGGGCTAGAAATAATGCTGGTTCAAATCTTGTTCATCTATTTATTCCTTTGTCTTTACATTATAATGCTCTCATTTCTAGTAGTTGTGGGAAATCAAGCCACATTCAAAGTTATCCCTCAGACCAACGTAAGTGGCTTATTCCTACTCTATTATAGATTTTAACTGTGATTAATAATTGGTATTCCTACATATATGAGATCATCCCACAGCCTTAAAATTTCACTGTGCTATTTTGAAAGCCTGCACCCTAAGTCAGACTGGACTCTAAGCCAGTGGAAGGATAAATCCTCTAGCCTACATTTGTTTGGTCTCTTCAACTATAACATTCTCCAACTAGCATTTAGTTTGGACTAAAGCACCCATAATTTTCAGACAGCGTACCAATGTTCAAACTTGACTGGATGATGGATGTTGTAGTCAAACACATCTGAAGGTCATCAGGTTGGAGAACCCCATCCAAAGATCTGGCTCTGAAATGGATTTCAGAATAAAATGGTGCATGAAGAAAACCTACTCACCTCTTCATGCTTCTTGCCTGCCTTCATATATTACCAGTAATTTGCCATTTAGGGCTTGTCTGCATTGCTGCTTTCCTGCAATGAACCTTCAATGGGGGTGAATTTGAAGTGCCTTTTCCCTTTGACATCTGCCCAAAGCACAGCTGGAGTTAGGCACTGAGCAATCCTACTTTAAAATCATCACAGTTTTAAGAGGGCCCTGATGATACCACCTCAATATATAGCTCAATGCAACGCTGCTTTAAAGGCTGTTCTACTTGGGCGCACTCTTTTGTCCAATTGGCAGTTGTTCAGGTTGCTTCTCTATCATGGAGGCATGCAGTTCTTTCAGTGCAGGCATGTTTGTAGCCTTGCGACTGATTTATTGTTGCAGTTTTGTTTTTTTGTTTTTAAGTGAGCTTGTGACAGACACAAGCATACTGGCTATCATCTCTCAAGGCACAGCTCAGCCTTCCCTGCATAATCTAAAGACAGAGGGACAGAGAGCATTCTAATTCATGGTTATGCAGGAAAATAGAACCGGCTGAGGTGAATGTGCTGAAAACAGTGCAAATGAAAACTGCTTAATATATAAGCTAGTATAAATTGCAGTGCAGACTCAGCTTCAGTTATATCAGTAAAGTAAATGCTAGTTAAAATTGAGACTGGCAAGTATTGTACTTTGGTAGCTCATTTAAACTCTGGACATACATTTTGTTCTAAATTACTGTAACCATAGAAAATTATCTACAGGTTAGGTCAACTCTCTCAACATTACTTTGTTGATTCCTGAATGCTATCCTTGAACAAGTTCTGGTCATACTAAAAATGAATATTTCATTATGTATACAGGAAATATTTTTCTTATTGTATATAACGTCTGTTTATTTTTCACTGCAATAAAACTTCTTTTGTTTCAAGCATCTAAGAGATTATTTTTAATTATTTGTATAATAAGGATGTCTGCATACAT